GCTAGAAAATGAAATAACTGTGAGTTGGGGTCCGTAGTGCAACTTTCCCTAAAAACTTGAAAATTAAAGAAATACTGCTTCAGAGTTAAAACTATGAAATCCATGTGTAGTAGGCCAGAGACATACAATGCCACCTTCTCAAATCCGTGACTTCACTAAAATCTGTGCTATAGGCTAACCCAGTGATGGTGAACTGCTTATAGAGCTTTCAAGATAACTAATGGGAGGCTGTGGCATGCATGGCATAGGTTTATTTCCAGTGGGCTAAACTGTGTATCTCAAAACTTTCATATGTGGAAACTCTAATGTCCAGTATTTCAGAAAGTAACCTTATCTGGAAATAAAGCTTTTAAAAAGAAAATCAGGGCTGGCCAAATAGCTCAGCGGATTAAAGCACCTGCAAGCAGGCACAGGGGCCGGGGATCTGATCCCGTCCTGTCATGCTGGCCCTGCCCCCCAGGGTGAGCTAAGACAGCAATTGAGACTGGGCATGGTGTCACATGCAGCTCTTGGGAGGCTGTAAACAGGCAGATCACTATGAGTCCAATCTAGTAGTGAGACCCTGAACACCCTGTAGACCCTTCCCTAAAATACAAAAAGAAAAAGAAAAAGAAAAGGAAAGAAAAAAGAAAATTAACCTAAAGTAGGGTCTTCCAGATAGGTCCAAATCCAGTATGACCAATGTCCTTAAAAGACAAGGAATTTGGACAAACGTGAGCACACAGAGGTGAGATCATGTGAATCGAACTAGAGGGAAGAAACAGCCATCTGCAACCTAAGCATAGAGGCTTCTGAGGAAATCAGCACATTGACCTAGGAATTCCAGATCCCAAATTGTGGAAAAATAAGTTTTTATTGTTAAAACCACCACTCTGTGGTATGTTATGGTAATTCTAGTAAATTAGTATATTATTAAATATAATACCCAACAACATAAAAAGAAAAAAAGGGATTTGACTATGTAATGAAGCATAGAAAAAATAAGATATGATATGCTAGAGTCTGAAACCAAAGTGGTCAGTTATAGGGTAGCAATTTGGAAAAAATGTTACATCAAAGGAAAAGTGGATGGGCAAGTCCTAAATGCAAATATATGCATAATCTAGTCATCAGACTGATAAAATACTGACATGGAGAGGGGTGTCAAAGCAGGTAATGATTAAAATACCAATGTGGGTAGGGGAGTCAAAAGCAGGTAAGATATTAGAATACAGTGAATATATGAATAAAATGTACAAAAGTAGAACCCACTATGAGTGAAGGTGAGGCAAGTTTTCCATTGATCTTGTAGATTAAATTTGCCATCAGATTCTTTGCTTTTACATATTCAAGGGCATAAGCTTTGATTATAGTTGATTCAGACAGAAATTCACTTCTTGCATGAAGAGACTTCCAGTGGTCTCCAATATTCATTTTCTCTTTCATTAATACTTATTTTTTAGTTGGCATATTTCCACCCCAATAATATATAGCTTAGGTTTCTCTTACAGTTAAATATAACAATATGATGAGATTCCCAGTCAATATCATGTGAAATTTCTAGATTTTCTTCACTTTGTTATTGGGATGTCGATATAATGGTGGAAGCACCAAAAATAACCTTTGCCATCTTCATTCATAATAAAAAGGTACAGCTCATGGGTGGGAGACAGAAGAAAAATGGAAGGGACAGAAGAAAGATGGAATGAACCTGGCATCTTGGTGACGGATGAGCTTCCCTAGAGCCATCGACAGTCTATCTTTAGAGTTCTTTAGTGTGAGAAAAACTTTCACTTGAATATAGAATTAAGTGCTTATTTCTGCACTTTCCTTCTGTCACAAGCTATCTCTGGTCTATTTTATAAGCATCAGCACTTCATGGACTCTATGCTCCTTTCTCTGTTCCCCAAATAACCCAATTAATATTCCAACTTCTTAGTATTTTTTTAAGTTTTCTCTGAGTGTAAACTCCTACTTCCTGTTTTCTCATTTCTTCCTTCCTATATATTAGCTTCCCATTCATAAAAATGATATTTCCATTAGGGGATAAATGCAGTATGCTTGATCTACCTGTCCCTCTCTATATTACTTTTATCTCTGGACTTAATGATTTTTCTTTCATTGCTGTATGTGTGTCCTCTGAAGCTGGGTGCTCAGATTAAAATGACAATCTTCCAAGGTACAGAGTAGCAATTTTCATCCCAGTGGTCTGTAAGAATATGTGTGGTTTTCACTTCCAAATTTTCTACAAGCTCCATCTCTAATTCTCTATAATATCTCTATCTCTCTGTACTATAAGCTCTATCTCTAATTTCTGGTGGAACTAGGGATTGAACTCAGGCCCTTGTGCTTGCGAAGGAAGCACTTACTCCACTGAGCTATCTCCCTGGCCCCTATCTCTAATTTCTATTTGATTTCTTTTCTCTTGGCATTCCAGTGCCACTTACTTATCTTTTTTCAGTCTTTAAAAAAAAATGAGCAATGGCCGTGACTCATCCACATGGCTGACACTGACAAAGGTTCTACAATCTGAGGTACAGGATCTCAGGATAAATCCTGAGGGGATTTCA